TCTTATAACTAATTAGTTTTGAAAAGTTTTAGAACAAAAAAATTAAAAAAAAACGTTATTAAGTGGAAAATAAAGAACTTAACGTAATCGTCTTCATTGGCAAAATACTTGAAGAAGTTGATATAGCCAGGTTTAATTAATCATAACAACTGTAAAAGTTGCTCTTATCATATATAATTCAGCCCACCAATCATTAGGTCAATTGAGCTCTGTATCTTCTGATATAAGTATATTCATCAATCTAGAAGTAGTAACATTAATTTAAATATTAACTAAATTAAAGAAATTGCATCTAAGTAGCGATGATGGTGTTGTTAAGATTGTCAAGTAGGCCTTTTGGAATGTACATCAAGGTACTTAAGTTTCTAAAAAATCTCCTGGTACTTTACGTCTGTATTTTATATTATTTTATCGAGTGAAGGCAGCGAAAAAGGATTCTTATCTCAGTGAACACAAACGGATAATAATACTACCGTACGAAATAAGCTGAAATTGAAAGCGGATGTTAGGCGCATGACTACTTACAGTCTTTAACAGCCCAAATAAAGGTAGAGTTTTACGATTCTCGTTGAAAATTTCAGCTTTATGGTTTATGTGTAATAACTCAGCCAACCCGAAAATCGCTGACAAAGCTACAGCTGGAATTGAACCATCCGGATTTCAGTTAATGCATTTTATTCTTTCCACATTTGAATAAACGCTGGATGAAAACACACAAGAAATGTTCCCGGTTTGTTGTTGTGTTAACTGTATGGAGATATCTTCAGACAATTTGCTCAATGCTTGAGCTGCATGGATTTCTTTTTTAGGTTTGGTTTGTTATGAATTTCGCGCAAAGCTACACAAGGGAAAATAGGTAAAATTAATCAAAACCTATATGTTTCTATGGAGTAAAATTTGTACTTACAACAGTAAGTTCTTTCAGCATTTTAATGAGGAGAAGAAAAAAAATCATAATTAAAACGTGCATGTTTAATCTGCAAACATATTAACACATGATTACTCCACTTTGGATATGTTTAGCCGCGGCTTAACGGCTCATAGAACACCTCTGAATAGAAACATTTAGCTCATAGCTCCATCTCTTGACCGATTTGAGATCTAATTACAGCCGCGACTATTGAGGATTCCCTCTTATTTTCGTAATACCTATTATTAGGTTAAATACAATATTTAAACATAAAATACAATTAATTTTTCTTTTTTTTTAATTCAAATAAGTTAATGTGAGTTTATAGAATGTAATATTGAATATGTAACTTTTTAGTCAGTAATATTCATAATATTCTTGTAGGATCTTTTAAATATGCTTTTTACATATATGTACACAAAACAAATTATACTTGAAAAATAACGTACTATTTTTATACTTACAATGAACAAGATGATTACAGACAAACTGTAACAAGCAGAATCACGGAACAGTGGCCAACCGGATAAAACGATCATCTATAGAAATATACAGTTCGTAACGCTGGCAATTAAAAACAGTGGTGACGAGAATAGTTTACACTCCTGTCGGGAAAATCTGACATTTACGCGAATACAAAGTTCGTAACAGTGAGGTTTAACTTAAAACAAATCACAAGAATAATACCTATATCGAAAAATGCACACTTAAACAGACATAACAGAAATAGCTGTCCACGTGTGTGAAAAAATCCACATATTTACAAAAATAAACAGTTCATAACAGTGCTGTTTAAGAAACAGAACTCACAAAAATAATGTGCATACATATATTGAAAATCCACACATATGAATTAATAGATTAAATAGACGTAACGGGTTATATGCGTTTGTGAAAAATCCACACATTTAGAGAAATAAACTGTTTATAACAAGTCCTTCCCTTCTTAATAGTATGAATGTAAAGAGGAAAATTCAGTGTGCATAGTTTTTTGCAAAGTTAGATTATCAAAAATGCAAAACTTGCTGTAAAATAGCTTTCAAAATAACCTATGTTAGGGACATTAAAACCATTAGAGAAATAGACTGTTTATAACAATGCTGTTTAAGAAACAGAAGTCACAAGAATAATCCACACACTTTCAGGGGAAAATGCACACATTTAGAGAAATAAACTGTTTATAACAATGCTGTTTAAGAAACAGAAGTCACAAGAATAATTCACACACTTTCAGGGGAAAATGCACACATTTAGAGAAATAAACTGTTTATAACAATGCTGTTTAAGAAACAGAAGTCACAAGAATAATTCACACACTTTCAGGGGAAAATGCACACATTTCATAAAACAAACAAAGTGTTACAGCGGTATGTAAAAACCAGTGTTTACATAAGTGTGCTTATGACGAAAATCCAAATATTTATATAAGTTCTTGGCTACATCAAGAATGTTTGTACTCTCTTATCCGATTTCTGCTAAGTGCGTATATAAAAGAAAAAGATCAAACCTCAAGTGTGAACAATGGAAATCAAGTATTTCTAGATCTAACGAAAAGGAATGGGTGAATTGGACGTTAGTTTAAGATTTTTTTTAGAGAGAAACTGGTTAAGAAAACAAAGGCAAGTATGACACCTGACATAAAAACGAGATGGTAACTTTCTAGAGTTCCATTACATGAATACCAAAATATATATATACATCTACTTGGAGCGGCTATTGATGTGGCTGCATTAACATAAAATCCATTAGCAACTGTACTACCAATACATAGGCCTGATATCGATCGATGGTCGGTTACTTGATTATTAGATTTTCCAACTATTGTTGTAAGTTCTTAGAAGAAAGGTGAATCTAAACAATTATAGTAGAATTCCATAACTATAAACACCCTAATCCGTAGGAAAGTTTGGTTGTTTTGTATATGAAAGGCGTTCTTCCAACTTAAACTTTGCAAGTAATATAGCTTTTCCTACATAGTATATTTTAACTCTGTTCCTTCCTGAATATACAGGTTCACGTGACATATTGTATTATTGATACTGGGTTTTCTGCTTCTCTCAGATGAACAAAAAACTGTACAGCTTTAATTAGGATTTCTGCATTAAATAATGAGAAATGCTGTTATTAAAGCGAACTTAAAAGTAACACTTTTATTTTTCCGTGGTTGAAAAAAAAACAACAATAGTGAGGTTGAATTCACATAAACATTTTGATATCATTTAATTATTAAAATATTTTCACAATCTATGTTTCACGTTTCCCGGACATTATAATTTGCTACATAACCAGTCAAATAATTTTAAAATACTTGAATAACGTGAGTAGTTTTTGGATTTGTTTGGTTATAATGACACAAAAAGACATAAAGCTCGTAACTCACTCTTCCTGCTAGAATACCACAAAGTCCAATGACGAATAGGATGTTAAAAACGGCAGAACCTACAATTGTACCTGTTCCAACATCTCCTTTTGCGATGAAAACGCCTAAAAACAGAACAACACAGTAAAGTAAAGTGCATGAAATAGAGACGGCTATATTGGTAGTATTAAAGAAAATCGTTGGAGTAAAGTGCATGAAATAGAGGCAGCTATATTGGTAATATTAAGGAAATCGTTGGAGTAAAGTGCATGAAATAGAGACAGCTATATTGGTAATATTAAGGAAATCGTTGGAGTAAAGTGCGTGAAATAGAGACAGCTATATTGGTAATATTGAGGAAATCGTCGGAGTATAGTGCTTGAAATAGAGACAGCTATATTGGTAATATTAAGGAAATCGTCGGAGTAAAGTGCATGAAATAGAGACAGTGGTAATATTAAGGAAATCGTTGGAGCAAAGTGCATGAAATAGACAGCTATATTGGTAATATTAAGGAAATCGTTGGAGTAAAGTGCATGAAATAGAGGCAGCTATATTGGTAATATTAAGGAAATCGTCGGAGTAAAGTGCATAAAATAGAGACAGCTATATTGGTAATATTAAGGAAATCGTCGGAGTAAAGTGCATAAAATAGATACAGCTATATTGGTAATATTAAGGAAATCGTCGGAGTAAAGTGCATAAAATAAAGACAGCTATATTGGTAATATTAAGGAAATCGTTGGAGTAAAGTGCATGAAATAGAGACAGCTATATTGGTAATATTAAGGAAATCGTCGGAGTAAAGTACATAAAATAGAGATCTGCTTAAACGTGGAGACGTGGATTGCCAACTGCATATATATAACGATCTTGCATGGTTAAATAAGGATCTTACTATAATGGACAAAATCTATACACAGTCACTCTGACGTTACTACAAACATAATTGACCAAAAATCCCAAATTTATGCTTTTTTTGTGAGCTCTGTCCCCTCCCTAAATTGAATTCAGCGTTTCTATATATCAATGTGTTGGGCGGATGAAAATTTATAATTGTGCCAATTTTCATCTTGTTTGTTGTAAATATGACTGTATAGGAGCCCAAAATAAACATTTTTTGGTTGTTTGACTTTTGATCACATAAAGTTCTTAAAAAGGCCTAAATAAAAAATAAAAAAATTAAAAGGTGTCTGGACGTATTGGACCAAGTTATAACCCTATTAAGTTTCAGGTAAATTTGTCGAGAAATGAAGGAATGGCGGTCGACTGAAAAGTGTTTGGAAGAAGAAAAAGAAAGAAAGAAGAAAAAATAATAGAAAACAGTATGTCTGTCTGTGGAGACATAATGATAACAATATGTAAAACTAAACAATGTATTCAGATGCAATCGATAAATCTTTCTGAAAAAATGTTAGTTTGTACTTTTGCGATAAAAATTGGCAATGCGAATTCTTAGATTGTTTTTTGTTACTTATATCAATAATGGTTATCTGTGAAAGCGACGTTCATCCAAAAAAGAAAATAGATATGGATTAGTTTTCATTCGAATTGAATAAAACAAAAGCCACATAGTAACGAAACTAAGGTTTAGCCTCTTTTATACGAAGATAAATTATTTCAAGACAATTAGTTATACAACATAAATAAATATTACTTTATCAATATGATAACCAAAAGAAATATATTATTTTTACTTGCGCATCCCAAAAACAATGTTATGAAGCAATTACAGTAAATTCAAAAAAGATTGGTAAATAAATCCTAAATCACACCTTCAATTATGCTTTATATATTCTTTTAATCTTTCATTTAATTTCGGCAATGTGTTAATCATAAAGTATCAGTAGAATATTCAGAATTTATTGTATTATCTACACTTTTACCACTAGGTGACAGTAAAGTGTACATATTGAAATTAGAACCAATGCTAAATGAAACGCTTGGATACTGTTGCTGATGAACAAAGTAAAACTATTTGAAAGAAAAATGGCATCTTTTAATGTTTTATAAATTATTAATCCGTAAATATCTTGCAACAGTTCTAACCACAATGTTTTCTCAGTTGTTAACTACTTTTATATAAATAGAAAGTGCAATTAATTACCTATATAGTTTCATAACAGTCACCTCACCTGGTGGCAAGTTTAGAAAGTTTAATAACAGTCACCTCACCTGGTGGCAAGTTTAGAAAGTTTAATAACAGTCACTTCACCTGGTGGCAAATTTAGAAAGTTTAATAACAGTCACCTCACCTGGTGGTGTATTTAGTAGAGGTACACGAGTGGTGTGAAATTTATGTTTTTCACTAAAACTTTTTTATTACAGTCATGAAGCTTTTTTCTCCAATTTGCCATTTTTTATTAATAAGTTAATTGTGTTTAATAAGAAACAGAAACGAATTAGACGTTGTTACCGGTGCCATGTAAATTTTAAACAAATCATGCTAAGGGTTGTTTCAAAAACATTCCAATGCAACAGTACGAAACTAGTACATGTTTTTGCTAATCCACTACAGTATAAACAAATAAACATACTTTATATTATATAAAGCCCAAATGAAAGAAAACATCGTACGAATTGCATTAATAACAGTTATTACAATACTTTGTTTCCAACGGTGGGCCTCAAGTAGTTTAGTGGTTAAGCTGACGGAGTGTGAATTCGAGGATCCAGAGTTTGCGTTCAGTTACCGCAAAAATGCGTTCCAAACTTTGTGGCCGTGGGTGCTTAATAAGAGTAACAGTTAAATCCCACTAATCGATCATATAAGACTAGCCTATGAGTTGGTCTGTGTAATGTATCCCATACTAGTGTTCAATGAATATTATAACCTATTAATAGTGTAGAGAATCAACAATCTTTATTGATAATAAGCTTTGCAAAATCCAGGCGGTCATGAAACAGTTGCTATGACAACGACAGATCGGTTTAGTTTACATACAGCTCCAGGCAGATTCGTTATCAACGCTCGGCATCTTCTTGTTATTGAAAATGGCTCGTGTTTGAATGTCTAGAGAAAGAGCAACTTCCTGTTGACTCAGTGAAGAGAAAGCAGTATCTATCCATCTTTGTTGTGGAAGGGATTACGAAACTAATTGTAATAAAACTTTACAAGGCAGTTATTGCAATTTTTGTATAATAGGGTTAAAAGTGTCAGCGGAAACCGTAACTTGTCATGCTGGATCATGATTTGTAAAAATAAATCTGTTTAAAATGTTCACTGGATGTTGTCAGTTGTCTTCAGTAGAAGAAAAAAAAAAAAACACTCAGGCCGAAATTAACCTCGTTCAGTTACTTGTATTCTGTTCTCACCACGTCTTAATGTTTTCTTAACATAGTTTCTTTGACATCTTTAATATATTTCGGAACTTTAATGATCATTCCTTGACCAATTACAATTTTAAAAAGAAGCAGAGAAAGAATTATAATAATTTGTTAAGTTAATACAGAAATCTTATGACCAATAGGACAATAAATAATTAATCTTTAAAATGATCATCTTCAGCATATAGTTGTGCACATTTATACATACAAAACGCCTATATCGAACAAGATTACATTAATAAAACAAGTTGTGTTAAGGTTTTCAATCAGAACTTGTCTTGTGTTAGATAAGCTTCTTAAATAGAAATACAACACGTAATCGGAGATTAAAATTAATTTTTAAAAAAACGACGAAGCCAACAAGTAACGGCTTCATGCTATTTTAAGCCAATAGAATTTAACCCACCAACAGTATCAATATTATTATTATGTTCATATTTATAGAATAAGTATATAAAGTAAAGAGGATTTTTAGTATCCAGTGTATGGAGAAATCATACAACTGCGTTAGTAACATGGCTGTCAGTTGGAATAGTCTTACAAACAAACATTAGATAAAAACCGCGACACCACTGGGTTTTCAACTTGTACCAAATGTTATACAAATGTATAAATATGTAACGAACATTATCACATTGTTTCTTTTGATACAGACACTAGATTTATATTAGAATAAACACGCAGTAACAACGAAAATACGTACTGTTTTACTATATTCTAGGCTTAGGAACAGTAGGCGACTATTTGTATCTTTATCATAATATTTATTTGGTCGAAATACTTTAATCAACACTTGCAAATTAAATATGAAATCAAAATCTCAGACTATAAAAGGGAGCAGAAACATGTGGAAAAAAAGGCAATTTTTGTAACATTTTGATGAAACATGGACCTCTTTTTTTCTGCTTTGTGCTTGTGTGTGTGTGTTTTCTTATAGCAAAGCCACATCGGGCTATCTGCTGTGTCTACCGAGGGGAATCGAACCCCTGATTTTAGCGTTGTAAATCCGAAGACTTACCTGCTTTATGCTTCTCAAACTTTTTCAATTTTTGGATATCACCACACGTGAGCTGTACTTGTTCAGTTTCGTAATTTACTATATCCTTTTGAATAACAGCATGGGAACATTATGTATCAACTAGCAATAAGCCCATCAAAAATGACAGGGCAAGTACTACCACGCCAACCCATAGTATAGCCCAGTGTTCGGCAACCTATGACCCGC